ACTATGTACTTAATGACGGCTGTATACAAAATTTCGAAGAGTTAATCGCATCTTTCGCTCGACTAGGGAGCAGGCACCTTAACAGGACCATTCGTATACCATCAGCAGTGCAAACTCGGTTGTTCAGTTAATAATGTTCAATCCTTGATTGTTTCGTTGGTGAATTTGTCTATAATACTTCGGGGTCATTGGACCCCATGGTGGGACACCCACCGTGAGCTCCGCTCGCTGTGACGGCATGATCACAGTGATGCGGTGCTATGAGCGAGAGAGCATATCGATGCTATTCAATCAGCGATAATCGCCAGATATCCCGAGTCGCTGAATCTCGGCGCGTTGTTGCTCAGTACTTTTCTTTATGAGCCTATAAAAGCTTGAGGCCAACAGTGTCATGCCGTTTCTGAATTGCAGGACATGCTAGGATGGATTTGAGCGAATCCGAGGATCAGAGCGCGAGTTTTCGGAGGTAACAGGGATGTATTTGGCAACTCGTGAGGGGGTAGATTTCGTACTTGGGAAACCAACACTTACTTCAAGAAAGTTATGTATCGCTCTCGGAAATGGGCTCTCCGACGATGATGAGTGCTCTATACGAAGTTTGTGAAGAGCATTCACCTTATCGACTTGCATACTGTGCGCGAACTGCTCGCTCGACCTGAGACTGTCTCATCGCGAGACAATCTCGGTTCCGACCCCCAGTTCAGGGTCGATCCCCAGTTCAGGGTCAAGCAACGACTGACGTACGCACACCCCCTAGAAACACAGAATAGTAGACCCTTGTGGCGCGAGGCTTGCGGGATAGAAACGAGTCACTCTCGAATGCAGACAACACGCATGCACCAATCAATCACGCAGGCAAATAAGACAGCCTATTCCGGAGGAGAGGAGAAGTGCAAAGACTACGTCGTAGACTACTACGACTCGTAGTCACTACGAGCTAACATCTATGTCATGGGTAGTACCAGTGGGTACCGTACCCAGGGTAAGTGGCACGTCACTGGACTTTCCTGATCAAACAGCGGTCATCAGGGCTCAGGCAACTCCAAGCATGGCTCGGCCTATACATACCGATGAGCCGTAGCGACAAGTTGTCGCCGACAAATCTGATTCGGTGCATCACTAGTAAAAGTTTCACTCCAGAACTCTTCGAATCACACTGTGATTCTCATAACCTGCGCAGTACGTGTGCAAAATGCGACTAGACCCTATTCAATGGGGTGATCCTTGGTGCTGTTTCCGTGCCGTCCATGCTCAATACATCTCAGTGTGTTGTGTTCAGTGCTTTATCAATGACCATCATCCCAGGACTACCGAGCCGGTAGGAGGGCTCCGGTTCAGAGATCACGGTTGGCTACTCTGATAGAGTTTCGGCGACCACGGTCCGGCATCATATCTTTAACTGCCTTTTGTACAGACTGAATAGTTTCATTCACCACACTTATGACCACGGCAGCATCGACTCAGCTCGACAGCAGTACAGTGCGTTTCGTTGCATCATTTAGGGAGAGACCTCTCGTGGGGTATCGCGGCTATTTATATCGCCTGAATAAGAAGCCGAACGAGAATATGGTAAGCTACTGGTGCTGCTATGTGGCTCACAAGAACCCGAGGTGTTCGGCAACACTTGTTCTTCGTGGAGATATTGACGGACCTGCATCTGAGTTGGAAGTCCTCAATGATGACAAAAGAAAGGCTCATATATGTGGTGGTGAGAACGTGCAGCTTCGTACTACGTACAACGATATGCGCGAAGCAGCGGCCGCCGCTGATGCAGAGACGAACTTGTCTGCCATTTACGCAAGGGTTTTGAACTCCCAGCCGGATAATGTCGTGAATCGCTTGCCTAAACGTAAGAGTGTGCAAGAGAATCTGCGTATCACACGGCAAAGAGCGCAAAATCTCCCAAAACTCCCTCGCGCAAGAGCTGACTTCGCTATCCCCGATGGATATAAGATTGTTAGGATTGGTGGAGAAGACCAACCAAGCCTTCTATTCGACTCGGGCTCGAATGACGCTGATCGTATCTTGGTATGGTACGATTCGCGTTCTCTGCACAACTTGTTGGCTACCACTAGTGAGTTACATATATCCATGGACGGAACTTTCAAGAGATGTGCGAATAAGTGGGCTCAGCAATACACTGTACTTATAAGGCACTCGACTGGCCGTATGATTCCGGTATTTTTCTGCCTGTTGCCCCACAAAGATACAATTACCTATCGGCGCTTATTCGATGTTTTGGTGGTCTATCTGGGCGATAACGTGGTCTCTTGTATGATGGATATGGAGAAGGCGGCGATGATAGCTTTGAAAGAGGTGTGGCCTGATTGTCGTATATCGATTTGCCTATTTCACTTCGGACAAGCGATCTACCGCAAGTTTGGCTCGTGGGGATACTGGGTTGCTACCGCTGACGACCTGGCAAAGGTTCGAGAGCGCACGTTCTACAATTTGATGGCGCTCCCTTTTTTACCCACCAGGCTGTTCGACGCGGGACTTCGCGTCGCCTGTTCAGACCTTCCTCAGCCACAATATCTCCGGGTGAGGAACTATATGAGATCGACATATGGAGTGTTTCAGTTCTTCCACCCTTCGCGCTGGAATCAGATTGATCGGGTGCTTCAAAACCTTCCGAGGACAAACAATGCCCAGGAAGGTTTCCATCGACATTGGAACACACTATTCCGGAACCATAATCACCCTAACATTTGGGTGTGGATTGGCCGTGTTCACGATCAGTTTGCTGCGAATCGGTTAGATCTGATTGAGCTGGCTCGCGGGAACATTCCTCGACGGAAGGCTTACTATGTGGAGACCGACTACTTGCTCTATGAGTTCTGCTCCGAGGACACGTCTCAACTCTCTCCCGAAGATCTTCCCGTCTGGTTTGCTCGAGCTCGAGCAATAGTTCGTCGTGTGGTACCGAGGACTGAAGTCGAGAAAGACTTCGATGACTACTTCGAGGATCTCATGGTGCGTCCTCCGTCTCCTGATCCGGAAGACGCAGCGCCAGTCCTACTTCCTGGTGTGGAGAATGATTCTGCTGATGTCGAAGGCGGCATCGTAGTCCTCAACATACCCGACGATCACTTAATCGACGTGTCAGGCCTGCTCGAAGCGGATGTTCCTGAGATGAGGCTAGCGGGATCTGTGCCGAACACGGTAGTCGGAGCTGAATCGCTCTCGGGTGAGGCACGTGCTGTATCGACTCCTCCCTCGAAGACCACCACGGATGACCACCCTGCGCCGAGTTCATCAGGCTCTCCTCCTTGGGTGAGTTTCGATATTGAAGGACATCGCCTGAGTGTCTCCGAGATGGATCATGCGGAACTTATGCAAGAGGGTTCCTTCGTGGCCGATTCTGTCGTTGACTTATGGATGAGGCTACTCTGGCGTGCCCATCGAGATCGCATGTTCCATCCACAGTGTGTCTGGGCTGCAAGCGAGCTCAATCCATATGGCTACAATGAGGTTAGCTCCTCCGATGGAGTGAAGCAGGTGCTGCAGCCAATTTTTGTAGATGGTTCACACTATGCCGCGGTGGCAAGGCTAGTGGGGGGTGACATCCTTTATATGGACAGTTTGCTTCACGAAGAAGTTCCTGCTGGCGCTGTGGCTGCTCTGACTCAGCTCTTCGGTCATAACAAGCGCTATACAGTTGTCGGAGTACAACAGCAGAGGAGCAATACGTGTGCCTTACACACTATTGCTCGGCTCACCGAAATACTCCTCTGTGATCGTGGTGATGCTACTCGAACCTTTTTTGCAGAAGAAAAAATGCGTATCCATGTAGAGGAATGCCTGCGCAACGGTAACATAAAGCGGTTCCCAAGACGGAGAGGGCCGCGCAGTCGCGTTTCTCCAAATCGTGAGTCTCGAACTCCAGCTGCCGAATGATGTCCGGTGCAACTGGTGCAGGAGTCAGTTTTACCCTAAGTTCCTCCTCTAGTTTCTCTCGGAAGTTCCTCAGCTCCGCATTTATTTAATACTGCTCCATCACATTGCACATTTCCATCGAGTTCCTGTGTTGTCAATTTGTACACGGATTGCGGAACAGTATCCTGCTTCATCTACCTTCACGGCGTGCATAAATTATACACGTGACAAAGTTGCGTCAACGATTATATTGTATAATCGTTCGCGTGATTTTGTCACATATTCGATAAATAATTGTTTCGGAATTTCATGGATTCGAAATGATCTGGATTCGTAAAAAATTGGTTTCGGAAAGAAATGGGGGAGCCGTGAACGGTCATACCAAAAATTTCGTCGAAACCTGTTCGCTACAGATACCAATGCGCTGTAATTCCGTCTGCGAGGGGGTTATAAAGGATTTTGCCGACTAGTCATTTGACCATTCGGTTACAGGTTTCGCCAAGTTTGGCGAGTTGGCGAAACCTGGTGCTCCGTCTTCAGGACGAAAGGTGGGGTATGGATTTGGGAACCTTTGAAATTTGTAGGACATCTCATTCTCCTTGCTGCCATGTCAGAATCAGCGTCGTCAAATCCCGATTCCGCCACACCTGAAAGCCTCACAGGCTCCACTGAGGACTCCAACGCTGAAGAGCCTGTGACCTTCGAGTCCCTAGGTGTATGCCCTGAGCTCTGCAAGGCATGTGACGTCCTACAATGGAAGCATCCCTCCAAGATCCAGGAGGAGACGATTCCCTATGCTTTACAAGGAAGGGACCTCATCGCCCTGGCAGAAACAGGCAGTGGGAAAACCGGTAGTAGTCCACTCAACGGAAATGCCGCACTAGGGTTGCGCTCGGTGATACCTTTTTCTGGAGCGGCATGGTCTTATAGGCCGTACAACCACCAATATCGTCGATGGTGTTCTTCTCAGGAGCGTTTGCTATTCCTATAATCCAGAAGCTCCTCGATGCGGCTCCTCATCGGAAACTAACCTGGGCCTGCGTACTCGCCCCCACTCGAGAGCTCTGCGTGCAGGTAAAAGGCTTCCAATACCAACCGGACTAAGTGTAAGTGCTTAGACTGGCCAGCAGTTCGAAGGTCTTGGTGCCAGCATTAACCTCACTACTGCCACCATCGTTGGTGGTCTCGACATGGTCACACAGGTGAGGACCATTGGGCTTAAGGTCATTAGTATTTCCCTTGTATAAGGCTATGTCCCTCTCTAAGAAGCCTCATATTATAGTGGCATCACCTGGTCGCCTAGTTGACCATCTAGAGAACACCAAGGGCTTCCACTTGAAAACTATCAAGTTCTTGGTCATGGACGAAGCTGATAGGCTCCTGGGTAGTAGGGATCATACCACACTCGCGCGAAGTCTTCTCGAATTGCAATTGACATCCCCACCAGCTTCGAGTGAGATCTGCACCAGGTATGGACTTCGAGGACGCCCTCAATAAGATCGTCCAGTCGTGTCCTCGAGATCGACAAACCTTCCTCTTTTCCGCGACTATGACCAGTACGACCGCCCTTTCGCAATGGGAAGGGCCTCATGGCTCTCTGTCGGTCAGATAAAGTTTCACAACTACAACGGGCGTCTCTTACCAGGCCTGTCAAGTGCGAAGTTGCACGGAAGTAGCATCCAGACTCCAACCTGAACTGTCGTGGAAATGTCTCTTCCAGGTTCGACGTGGCCAAAGGTTTGGT